CAATATTTACTTAAATATATATTCCAGTTTGGTAAGATTCTTTAATATGCCACTTAATATGATATGAACTATCTATTGCTTAAGTGTTCATTTTGGGGGTATAGTTTTCCTTTAAAAGTAGAGAGGGGTGTGTGTATGGATGCTGGGTTTTCATTTGGAGGAGTTGAACTTGATGTACTTTGTCTTTTTTCAACCCAATTTAACTATGTAACTATGTAACTAAGTGCAGGTAAGTATGTAAAAAAACGTGCACTTACCGTTTTTGTAGCAGGAGGATCGCTGGAACCAATGGAGGCAGCCTGGACAGCGAGTCTGCAGAGTCAATGCACAGCAGGAAGTGTGTGGGCGGCTGTGCAGGAAGGAAGAGGTGAGTATGTAGCAGCATACAGCCATTTGCAGCGTATTTGCCACTTTGAAGTCGGATCTCCGACAATCATGTCGCAGATCTGACTTGACAGCCCCCCAGCCTCGTTGCCCAGGGCAAAAAGCCACCAATGCAGAGAGAAGGGTGAAAATGCAGTAGGATGACAAATATGCCAGTACTTTCATACATCTTGATGCAAAGATGACAGTAAACAAAAATTTCAGACTGTAAAGTGGGACTTGTACAGAAAAAGTCCAAAACTTAAGCTGGCCATATATTAATAAATTTGCGTTTTGTCAAGATCACCGAATGAGTGGACCTTTCCCCAATAGGTGGGCAATATCAGATTGATCCGTTCATTTGGGCCTAGGACCAAACAATCGGATACAGGCCACTGGGGCAATGACCAAATAGATTTTTTAACCAGTCTGAACCATGTCTCCTCAATTTTGCTCCAGATAGCTGTTGGGTAGGCCTATTGGAGTTCCCCATGCCTGGGCAGAGAAGCTGCCGACTTAGACAGAAGGAGCTGAATCGACAGATAAAACTGTCTGGGGTCCCCCTTTTCTAAAACCCCAGTCCTAACAATGATCATTTAAGGCCTGACAAGCAGCATCAGCCATAGGCCAGTTGAACTTATCTGACCACATGGGACCCTTCATCAACAGGGGACTTTGTACAAGTGTTGAAATCTACAGCTTTAAAAGAATATGGAATTCTTCACAGAAAAGGTTGGAGGACAAGGCTGAGTAAAGTATTTTATTGTCTGCATAGTATTTTGGTCAAGATGAAGATGCAAAGATTGTTTTAACTAGAACAATGTAGCTTTCTGAAGTGATTATTCAGGTTTAATAGCAGCAAAATCTGTTATAGAATGAATTCATATTTCATCAAGGGACTGTTACTATAGTGTAGAGCACTCTAATGTAAAGAAAATACCATTTTATGTCAATAGTTTTATTGTTTTTATTTTATAGTTTCATTTCTATTGTGTTTTTAATTCACTTGTTCTACATTTAATTTAACCCTGGCTCAGTTCAAAGTATGTCTCGATTGTTTTATAATATATCAGATACACCATATAAAAAGGCACACAGCAGTGTTCTTAATCTTTTAATTTATTTTGTATGATTACATGTGAGAAACAAATACAAATCATGTTAAAACATATATTGTCATTGTTTTGTATATCTGTGGTATTGTGACATCACTGCTGAAAATAATGACATCACTAGTGATGGGCGAATTTATTCATCAGGCGCGAATTTGCGGTGAATTTGCCCATTTTGCCACCGGCGAATAAATTTGCAAATTTGCTGCAAAACTCTGCTGGCGAAAATTCGACAGCGTAGAAAAAAATTTGACGCCTGCGATGGTTTCGACGCCGGCATCCAAGTTTTTTGACACCGGCAACGGTTCCGACACCGGCACCAAATTTGACGCTACAGCTGATAAATGGATGCCCTTTGACTTTAATGGGCATCGGCGAATTGTCACAGGCGGCAAAATCAATGATTCGAAATTTTTCGCCAGTTTGCATCGAAGCGAAACGGGACAAATTCTCTCATCACTAGACATCAAAGCTTTCATAAGAACGTTTACAATAACAAATGACCATATATGGACACAGTGCCCAGTTGCTATTATGAGAATGTGTACAATGACATGACCATATA